CTTCCCTCTGTGAAGCCCGAAGTCAGCTAAAGGGCCAATGATAACTATCAAAACGCCTGCCATTTGAAATAAATAAATATTTATCATCTTCAAGAGAAGGTAAAAAATTATATTCCAATATGAATTTGGAGTAAACAGCAAGATCACGAAATACAGTAATGTTTAATGCTTCTCAGTGGAGTAATGCAAGTTTGAAAATTGACCCGAGTGCTGTTTTAGAGCGAAATATGCAACAATCATAGGGAGAAGCTTTGGCAATAAGATCCATTAGCCATTACCGAGAAGTGGAATGCGTATTATATCAAGGTGACGAAAGACAAGTGGACGATATTGAATTATAGCAAAAGGTTTTATTCCTCCACACCCCCATCCTATTAGCCCTCGTCAACCTAGGCTAGAAGCATTACCTTTGAGATTCTTCACACATCAATCAAAGAATCTGCAGCGAATTTAACTCGTTGAATCAAATAAGCATTCTCCAAATCCCAGAGAGGGAGAATGATTCGCACCTCATAATTATCCTGTGATATTTTCAATTCAAAAATTTATTCTTTGAAATTTTCGCCTCCTCAATAAAAGTAAATAGGCAATCGTAGAGTTAGGTACCTAACGCGAGCTACATGATATGAACAAATAATAAAATTGAAAGAGAAAATGTGTGTGTGCGCAGCTAAGCAAATGTTTATATGAACTGAAAAAAGACAAAAAATTTGCAAAAACATAACAAGCAGATTATTCAATAATATGAAAAGATCGCATTAATATCTTAATTTGAAATTTGTGTCATATATAGCCGGTAGACCCATAAACTGCTTAGTCTCGACCCCCCCCCCCCCGTCCCCCAATTATAGGATCTTTAGACTCGAACTCTGCATAACAGTTCTGATCATTTAAGCAGTAGACCAACACTGTCTTTGCAGTACAATCACTGATTTCTGGACTTCTTAGTCTGTGCAGAATTTGGCAAATCATTGACCATTTAAACAAGTGGAAATTGTATAGGGGATACATTTTCAATAGGAAATTGATATATATGCTCGAATGAAATTGCGTATTTAACGATAACAAACACACACACACAAGGGGCAAGCAAATGACTTCAGGAAATCGATACCGATTAAAGTACTGCAGAATTTTAAATGAAAGATAGAATAAAACAACTCATGCAAGATATTGAAAGTCAACACGAAAAAGCTGAAATCTCGCACAGTACATTTTATTGATGCGTTTTAAAATTCCTGAGATATATTCCCTCCCAAACACTCTTTACTTATTAAAAAATGCCATAGATATTCAATAAATAGAGGAACATATCACATTCTTTTCTTAAGATCAGAAAGAGATTAAAGCAAACTGCCGACCGGGTCTAATAAAATCACCACCACCACCACCACCACAATAATAATAATAACGACTATCGCAACCAGACGCACCTGAAAATAAATCCTATAATTGACGTGTGTGGGTGGATAGGGCAAGCATACAAAAAAACACTAGGAAATAGGCCAATTCAGACACTACAGCGTGTCTGTCTACATGCACGCTCAGAGTGAGATACAACACTGGTCAGCAGCCTGCTTTATAGCCTAGCCAAGCGGTTCGGTTGTGTTAAGGACAGAAATTAAACTTAATGCAATGGAAAGTCATTCCGATGAAGGGAGGTGCTTTTCACGACTTGTATAGTCTCTTGCGCTTTACTCTCAGCCAAAGGCCTCCAACCACGTCGTTCTCCGGTTATGCAGCCAGCCAGCTTACAGTTCACATACGCCTCCATGTGTTTTAAGTCTAACACGAGGCTAACTTAGACGCCTATAAAATTTTGAGAAGATACTTTAGGGGAATAAGAATAAAATAAAAATTAGAATGAGTGGAAATTACAATTGGAAACGAGTGTATCAACAAGCAGGAATGAAATCAGAATCGAGAATTTCTGAAGCACGCGCGAGGAGACCCAAAGAGAATCAATTTAACAAAAGCAAGCAACGCAATATGCCAAACAATGACACTTAAGTTACGACACACCGTAAAATAAAAACTAAAGCTACGCGACCACAACCACAGAGTTGCAATCCTAGATTTCGGATACAATTTAAAGCGGAATGCTGAATTAATACTTTAATTCACCAACAAATTATTAAGGATCTTAATAAAAAACAACGGGTTCTAGCCGCATATTATAAGCCCATGGAATTAAAATTTTGGGAAACCCCCCCCCCCTCATTACCATATAACTTTTTGATCTTAATATAGTCAGTGAACACTGTCTTAGCTTATTGCAAGACTGTGCCTGGAAGGAGGTGATCACACATTTGGAGAGGAGAGGGTGCTAAATTTAGACATTTCCTTTGGGTTTGGACTTAGGTAAACACGTTTATCAAAAAAAAAGAGAGAGAGAACAGAAGCGCGAACTATGCGAGTGCAAACGAAAAGAGAAAGGTGCATCTTCTCTCTCTCTTGGGAAAAGCAAGACGAGCCCTGTTACCAAGGCAAGGCCGGCGGTGTAAATATAAGGGTTGAAAAAAGTAGAGAGATGAGAAAAAGAAAGACATGGGCCTGGAAAGTTAAGTAAAATGTGCAGGCAAGGAAGGGGAAGTGTGTGTGTGCGCGCGCGCTTGTGTGTGTGAAGCTTTCGTATTATTCAATGGGAAAGTACCGATGCAAACAATAAACTACTAAAAGATAGCAGATCGAATAAATTGCCAAATATAGACACTGCCCTTCGATTTCGATCAGAATCGTACTTCTATTGAAAGATTAGAGTTCGCGGTAATCCGCACTTCAAAAATCACATCTTATGTCTGCCATCGGAAGAAAAAAAAATTAACCAACTAATGCCAGCATGCGGTTTTGTAGCTCTAAAGGCGAGGGGTGACGTCACCACCCAACCTCGCAACTTCGCCTATTTCTCGGTGTGCAGCGGCCTTCGCCTGGAAGCAGACGATTTTGAATTTAATTGTGAAAGAGGAAACAAAAAAATCGTAGGATTTTACACAAATAACAACGCATTTCTTCCAAGAAATGTAGCTTACTTCGGAATATAGGGACGATTTCATTGTTTATTAACAAGCAATCAATTCCAGCAAATACCATTATTAATGGGAGAAAAAGAAGCTACTTTTGGGTACATTTAGCGCCAGCAATCTTGGCCATCTCTAGTAGATCAACAGAATAGGGTACATGAGAAGGAAATAGCCGGAACAACAAATCAACTCACCCACAAAATTAGGCCTGTTATGTACCTCTGTGGAATTTTAATTATGGGTTATGAATAGTGACCCATTAGAAAGCGATCGATCAACTTTGCATCAACATCACCAAAAGGAATCAACTTGACGCCAGCAATAAAAAATAATTCAAAAGAACGGAAAGAATAAATTGTTAAAGAAAGTCAAGAAAAGTACTCCAAAATTAAGCAAAAGGCCCATAAGTTATTTAAATTTACACTTGATGTTAATAAGATGGGACATTAATAGATATTAGTCAAAATTGTAGTCTATACTGCACCTTACGCTTACGAAAAGTGGTCTCCGATCTACCTGACAGGTAGTTTAGGTAAACCGGTGGACTGATATTTGGCTTTCAATTATACTAGGAGACCACTATTTCCCATAGAATGGTCATTTAAAATGAAAGTAAATCTAGGAAAGTAAACTCATCAGGCGAGTTATTTGTAGGTCATTTGAAGTACCGACGAAGCTTAAATTAACAAAAAATTGCACTTTTTCTGTGGATAGCTAAGCTGATACGAGCTTGAGAAGCAATGCTCTTTGCAATTAGTAAAATTCGGGCCTGATTACTACTGGAAGTCTAACCAATGGGAGGAATCAGATGTGGAGGCAAGTAAAACTAAGGGAAAGCAGTGTGGAGGTGCCGTGTTCTACCTTCTGTTGAGGACATAAACTTACTCAGATTATTCGTTATTTTTTAACAAAATAAAAAAAACAAGTCAAATGTTAGGCTAGTTCAATTCTTCTTGATTAGACTACTAAATTACTAACTTGCGCCGTAGTAGAAGAAGTGGGAGAGAAAAACAACGAATCGAATGGAAACTTCAGTACGATTTACTGCACACTATAAAGCAGATTGCATGAAGATTGCCACATCTATTCCCACCATTTCACGATGCAGAGCGAAATAGTAGTCCATAAAACGATGTTAGAGTGGAAGATAATGCTTTTTTACAAACAAAAAAACATTTTCTCCTTCAATTGACCGAATTTCTGCCCACACATTTACTAATTGCATACATTGAATAGCTTCTCTTAGCAAGTTATTTAATAGAAGGTAGGATTAGTCAATTAGGCTAGTTAAATTTACCCAGTAGGATAGGGAACAGTGAAACCTGCGATTTTTGGATTCTCACAACCAAGGAAGAAGAATGAGCTCATGCAGCCAACAATAGCAAAATTGATCACGAAGACAAAGAGGACAGCATCTACAACAGACAAAAAAGAATAAAGTTAAATAAGTCAAATCTATGGTAACAAAGGTTCACAGCATCAGGCCATATAATAAACCACCTTTTGGATACAGAAGCTTTTGTATGATTGACATCTCTCCGTCATGCATACCCCGTTAATTACCCAAACAATTAAAATTGGCTCCATATACTAGCCAAGATTTGTATTTTCTTTGGATCTGTTCGCTAAATTTCAGTACTTTATTCATTAATAGATCCAAGTTAAAAAAGTTTCTGCATCCTATTCCTCTTATCAAGGATTCACCATTCTATCCCGGAGAGATATCCGTTTAACCTACCTTAATATCCCACCTGAGTCAAATTTCAATGAGCGACAACTGGCAAGACTCCTAGATCTTCCAGAAATGTCTGCGGATGTCCGCTCTCTATCTCATTAGCAGAAATCAGGTTCGCACTAAACTCTAACGACACAATCAACATACCACTAAGATCCTGACGCAGTCTTTTTGCTACCTTATACGCTAGTCACATATAGTTCATGTGAAAGTGGAAGTTCAAAATTGGATTAGTAAAATGAGGGAAACGGAATGCAAGAATTGCATCTGAAGCTATTCTTTGATCACATTCACTATTACGGTTCTATGATGTGCTTATGTCCCCCCCCCGGCCAATCCTATGGCTTAGACTTCTATCTGCCATGCCTAGACTTAGTTATCGATTTTCGAATACTCTATAACCGTCAGAGTTCTCTTAAAAGTGCATTTGCAACCATACTCCATTTGGGTGTTCGACTATAAATTGACTTTTGTTTAAATGCTTGAACAAACTGTCACTTATCTGCTCACACGTTTTCTCTCCATTTTATATCTCAAAACCCCCCCTTGTCTTGAGTCTCCATAGTGGCTTACTCAATATGCTTTGCCTAACAAACTAGTGACCCGAACATGATGTACAAAAATAGCTTTATGAAACTTTATTTCGCCCTCTGATACAGTATTGCATCAATACACAAAACCTTAAAGAGACACAAAAAGTGCAGCAACAACAGGGACTTTTACGGGAATTGGAAGCTTACTGCTGGAGCTATAGGCTCTAATCCCCCAAGAATTAATACATGTTGGTAGTGGCATGCGTAGACTGGGTAAATTAATTTGAACACTCCTATTCTTCACAGTAAATAAATAATAAATTTCTTGTTCTGTTTATTTTCTTTAAAGATAAAGAGAAGTATATTGCGTACTATTAGAAAGGAAGTGAGTCAAGCCATTATAAACGTTTACCTTACCGATGGGAGGCTATTGACCTTAAGAAAACAGCACAATTCGAGATTATGCATTTTCATGAGGATCAAGATTAAATGGAAACATCAATGGGAGTGAAGATCTAGGTCGATGGAAGATCAATAGGGGACATGTAATTGCAGACTCAAAGTAAACAACTGGGTGTACGCAGTTAACAGGAGAATATCAATCTAGTATCGATTGATTAAATAAACATCAATTAGATAAACGATGCATAGTCAATCCCACTCCAAGCTGAAATGCATTATGCTCTAAACAATAAACTTATGATTAGCCACTCATTCCGATCTCTGTAAAACGTATAAGGTAATGAGAGGATATTGATTTGGTATCGATTGTTCCGGTCATCATAACACAATTTTGGCTTCCAATTAGGTCTTCAGTGAGAGGGAGAGTGAGTAAAAGTTCAAGATGAAACACTAGATAGTTTCCGATCTTGGGATTATTTTCAAAATCTTGATGATTACTAATTTTATATTATATGAAAATGAAATGTACTTTTACGACTCAATTTGGCTTTATTGAGAATGAGTCCACCGGTGAGAATTCCAATAGCTCCAGAGGGAACAATCAGTCCACCTAAAATTGGAATAAAGTTATAAATTTATAAGATAATTGCCTTTGGACAAGCATTTCAAAACGAAGAGAAGAAGAATCCCAGGACCCCCGATTTGGCTATATTAATATTTGGAACACAAAGTAATGAAAAATTTCTTCCTTAAATACCTCGAAGAGTCTCATTGAATGCATATGACCTTTGAGGTCAGCCTATCAAAGGCTGAAAGGTACAAGAAATAGGAAATAGACGGTGATTTTCAGGAGGAGGGAAAAATGAGTAGTTGGAATGGAGAAAAGCAAAGTGGCGGAACACGAAGGGATGAGCAGTATGAAGAGAATAGGAGTCATTGACAATGCTAAGAGAAAGCAATAATTGGTAGGCAAAAATTCTAGAAGCGGACAATAGGCGATTTAAGGTTGGAGTTAGCAGCAAATTCGATCTTGACAAATACATAGTCGTCTAGTGAGGAATCCATGCTAATAAGAGTTCGGAAAACCAATTATAGGGGATTAAGAGATCGTTATTAATTCAAAATACAACAACCCAACTCTCTTACTACCAATTTCAGTTGCTTTTACATGATGATAAAGTAGGATGGAGTTGCGGTATTATAATACACGGATTAACGAGAAAATAGGGAAAGAGAAAGATTGAAGGGCGGATTTCATTGCCTACAGCTAATACATGGTGGGAGAAGACTTTTTCTGAAAATAAAATATTGCTTTTAAGGTTATGAAAATTAATGACTGATTGCAAACAAGAAAATTGTGGTTCAATAACGCCGAACTACAGAGGAAGGGAGAGTGGAGGAAGAAATTGAGTTAGAATGGAAAATCGAGGGCCATTTCAATTTAGCAGCTATGAATAAGTAAATGCGCCTAATGAACCCTTTGATATCACAACGTGAATGATCACTATAAATATAGACAAAGAGAAGGAATAGAGTAAAAAGGAAAGCACTTTTGTAACTTGAATTCCGATGCCATTACCATTACCCAAACGCAATCAATGTCGTTGACTAAAGTCTCATTAGGCATCGAACTAGTGATCTCTGGCTTAGCCTTATCGATACCCAGATATATTACCTTCCTTGCTAAATCCATGAACTTGTGTAGTCTTTTATCGACTGTTTGCGAAACCCGATTGTTGAAATGCCTAGCAGACAAAGAGATCGAGAAAGTCATCATTAACTAGAAAGCCCTAAACACTGTACACATTCATACTTTATCTCATGCACATTTAATTAATGCGCGCAATTTTCACCATATTTTTTTCATAGTTTGACGTTATAAGACCCAGATCACAGACCATCATGTCACCCGAACATCACTTAAGAGTGCACATGGTTAAAGTGCATTCAATAAACCATTGAACTACATTATACTACTACTATTGCTACGACTTTCCGTGCATGCCCTCGCAGTGCATTCCATCTTTACATCTTTACACACTTTATATACACACGAGGTTACCATTTAAAAAACCATTAGGCCTCCAAACCCATATCATATTAATCGCTACAAGTGAATTCAGCAGGAGGAATGCTGAGGGCGTCTAAATGGATACATTTGTACAAAAGTCATTTAATTGAATGAAATAGGGAGAGGGGGGGGGGAGAATTGAATATGTCACAGTAGCCTGAGAAGTGTTAGCACAACTACAAAAGGAGCATTCAGGAGTCAAGGTCAAAATAACACCGTTTGTGGCAACACAACACAGTACCAATAAACACATCATTGACTATGAGATCGAGACTAGAACTACCTAATCAATCATATAACTACTGCAATACCAGAAGGAAGATCCCTTCAGATATTAGGCTAAAAGACGATATTTCCAAATTTCGATTTCTTCTTTCATAAGCCATTACAACAGTTACAACAATGAATCGTTCTATCTAACCAGTGACCTTAATACGATTCATTTCTGCTTATTAAACTGCCTTGATAGTAATAAGCTCTCTTCCCCAAATAACCGTAACGTATTTAACCTCAGCACGACATGTTAGTCATAGTAAATACGATTGTCCAATATGAACAGATTTTCACACACCCACGCACACGAACACATGCACACACACACTATAAATGGAGATAGTACATGGCTGATTAGCATGTTAGCATAACCATCTAATAAAAGATACAACTTAACTTACTTTAGTAAAGTGGCAACAAAAGTCAGGCCACTACAGTTTATCATTAACGGTGGGGCCAGAGGCAAAGTAACTCATGACTAGGGGCTTGTGATTGCTGTGTGGTGAAGGTAGTGCAATTTACACAAAGCACTGGGAAAATACAATGCAATAAGGGAGTTGAATATGAGAAAAAAAATTAAAATTTCGATATAGAAGTTGATAGTAGTGACATGTTAAATAAGGTGCCCTTGTTAAACTGTATAAATTAATGCCCCGAAAAGCAACTGATTGGGGTGGGGGGGGGGGGGGGGTACATTAAGGACCTTACCTTCTCAGATGGATGGAAAGACAGGCGTGTTGAGCTTAAGTGCATGGGACTAAATGAAATGAACCCTAAAACCACCTTGGTGTCATTTGGGCGCTGCCCAAATACTGGTAGGGCGCATTATGAACACCACCGATGCCATGTAACAAGTGTGGTTCTTTGTGTCCAACCGTGTACATTAAGTGAACAAAGTGTGAACCCCACTGTGTGTTGAAACATCAATTTTACTGGCATTTTAGTCGTGACAGATAATCTTTAACAGGCAACTGAAAAAACGAGTTGAAGATAGGGATTTCTCAGAAATAATCGATTTAATATCAAAAATTAAACCCTATTCAGTGGTTAACCCCAGAGAAAGCCAAAATATCTCGATTAAGATACACCCTCATTTTCTAGTACGGAAATTTCATCGTTTCAAAAAAGTACTGATCTTAAAGAACTTTACAATAAGTTGCATTAAGCTGTTGGATGAATTCTGATTAAAAGGTTTAAGATTTCTTATTTCTTCCTTTTGACCTACTATAATACAAAATAGTTGTAGAAGTAAAGCTGACAATAAACAAAAAAATGAGATTTCAAGAATTTCTGAGAGAGACAAAGTTATTTTCTGTATGATCTCTTGAGTAATGAAAGTATGATTCAAACGAGCTAAGAATGGTAACACGCCTTTCATTCCGATAATGATTTCTATTTTAGAATTTTTATTTGTCCATTGACGTCAAAAATGGGACTAATTTCTCAAACAACGCGATAATATTACTGGAATTCACAAGGAGTACATTCCAGTGAACTTTCCATGGAGAGATCTCCTAGTACCAGATAGCTGTTCTTGACTATTCAAAGGGGTATATTTCTCAAGACATAATGACCAACCGTCTGACTCGATCATCTGGTCAACACAAACACCAACTCGCTTATGAACCAATCGGTGATAATTGAAAAGCAATGTAAAATATTCATCGAGTAAAAAGCAAACAATTTAATGAAACGAATCCTATTCAATCAACCCCACCAACCCCCACCCCACCCCACAACTCCAAATCCTCTGCCCTTTATTGAATTTTAGGTGATTTATCATGGACACAAATTTTGCCATGGGCGGTTCCTTATTATAATGAGATGGCTATTCCCTTGGCTATATTTAGGTTAAGCCAAATAGACGAAATGGCTTATTTTTCCCACAAACACATTTGACTTGAAAAGATGAAGCGATAGAGATGTTAAGCAGCTCGCAAGGGAAAATATTCCCAATGGAGAAGCCATCATTGACGAGCAATCAATATAAAGAGTTCAAAATAAACAGACGTAACCATTCGTGGTTGGAAAATATATTCAAGTTAAAGTTTAATTAGAAGGGGTGTGCGATAGACTTACCTCCACGTGGTGCACCCTGGGCAACGTATACTCATACGGCAAAAAAGTCTATTAATCGGCAGTTGACTTCTGACTTCAAACTACCATGACCCGACTCTATGTCATATTCAACCCCTACCACTACTCATCTTACCCCTTCTGAGCCTTTGTGTCTTTCTTTTACATCTGTGAATCGCTCTTCTATTCCCCCTCCTGAATTCTTCTCACTTTGATGTTCCTCCTCCCCTCTGTGAAGCCCGAAGTCAACTAAAGGGCTAATGATAACTATCAAAACGCCTGCCATTTGTTATAAATAAATAAATAAGTTTAATTAGAATGACCAGCCATGCTATAGTTAATTCAGATCAACTGATGGATAGTGGGAGAAGTAATCCATTTCAGAAACAACTTTCAAAGGCTTCAATTCCCCACCAAAGATTAGTATCGGAGGGTGAGTTAAAAAATTTCTCAAACTAATGCCATAACTTTAAATGAAACAAATATTTGCAAGGTTTTACAAGGTCAAAAATACCTTTAGAGAGATGCATGCCCTAGCTAGCGATTGGCATATTCGCTGCAGAGGAATTCGATGACCCTTTGTCTTATTTCACAATTCAATTGTTCATGTTTTCTAAACCAATCTTGAGCACTTTATTCAATCAATGTTCATTATTTTGTAATTTAGTAGTTTTTGAAGGAAAACATAAAGAAGTCAAATGACTGGCCACAAATAAGTAAACTATCCGCAAAAAAGTCTCCAGTTGGAGACTCCATGATAAGAGACTTTTCTTCAGCATAGTGATTATTGTTTTTATCATAATTACTCATAGATAGTATTGACTTACCGGCAATCATACTGGCAGTCGCTTTCGAAATTTGATACTCAATTTCCATGTATTTTGGGAGGAAGCCCGCAAATCCAATTATAATGAACATCTCGCAGCATATGCATAGGCACGTTACAACGTAAATTTTGTTCTTCAGTAGACTGAATATTGACTTGGGGATGTCTTCTACAAAAGGCAAACAACGTGATTGTGTTAAGAAAAAAAGAGACTTGAGACGGTCTCCCACTTGTGCTAGATGAATTCACGCTACTCTGAAGGGAAGGAAATTCATTTTAAGGAGAAGTATGGTAAAGAGGAGCTAGCATCGGGGGAGGGGGAGAGAGAGTAGTTTGGACTGCGCAAGAGCTTACGGAAAACAGAGCCTTTTAAAGAGAGGAGGAGGAGGAGGGGGGGAGGGGGATGTATAAGGTAAATGGAGGTTGAGAAATCTTAACATTTCAAAGGGAAACAATAGCCTTTGACCCTATTTCATCACTCATTTGAATTTTGTTTTCATTCACCCAAGCACGAATTAATATGTATCACCGAACTACTGGCATTTATTCCAATACTACAGCAGATGTCAAAAATTTATCCAACGAATCAAAAAGTAATTGAGTAATCTATGAGCAAAATACAAATAGAACTGTTTATGGCAAGCGTGGTTTCAACAAAATATCAAAGTAATCTCCATCTCGATCGAAATCCTTGACTAGATCTAGGGTATAACTAAGGCCAAAATGAGTAAGAGACTTAGGTAATCAAAATGTCAATTGTGCAATACAGATAAAAGGAGAAGTAAGCACAAAGAGACAATGGGAAAGAAGAAAGCGAGGTAAGAAGAAGTGTCAGAGTGCATGGACGGTCGTTCATAAGTGAATAAGATAGCGAAATTACAAGAAAACAGAAAAAAATTAATTGACAAGGGCTTCTTATTCCAAAGGTCGAAGGTAATAGCTGCACTATTACGTGTCAAATGCATAAATATAGCCAAGAATGCAAACAAACTCTGAGAGGTTCAGGTTGCTTCTACAGTAGATCATCAAATAGAGGCAATCTTTGTTGCAGATTTTGAATTTTAAGGCAATTTTACTCCTTTCAAATTCTCAAATTATGCTTATGAAAGGAAATTATTTCTAAATATTTAGTCTACATATATTTGCACTATTACATACGTTTGTCCTTTTATAACTACGAAATCTACGGAATGTTGTCATAAGTTTGGCCTAAAGGTGAGAAGCTCTGAACAAGGAGGCTTTATATATCCCCCTGTCTAGATAATTATAAATAAATGCAATTCAATCATTCAATGCCAATAGCAAATGAATAACCTGACTTATGAATTAATCATGCATCAAAGAGAATGCAAAATGACTGATAGAGCTTTTTCCCCCAACTATCGGCGAGGTAGGAACAGAATTCGCCTCACAAGCACCGGACTTCTTCCATCCTCGTGCAATGGATCGAAATTTATTCCCTGTCATACTACTGACAAACAAATTAAGCAACCCAAATATTAAGACGAGTATTATACACTTGTTACGCGCTCCTAATTGAGAAGCCTCACATGCTGTCACGTTTCTCTTGAGCGAATAAAATGATAAACCCCACAATGTTTGCATCATACCGGCATTAAGTGATAGAAAGTTCTTTGCTTCGCACATGTGTCGTGGTTGTAAACGCGAACGTGTATCAAATTAGGGATTGGCAAGGTCAATGCTCATTGGTGTACAAAGAGGGGCGTGAATGGTCAGTCACATTCTGGTCAATAAAATGGTTAGAGGGATTCCGAGTTAATTGAGTTCGGATGTGTTTTTCTTTCTTCAGAAGGGGGGGGGGGGTTAATAAGGGAGACTCCAGGACAATTATCCACATCAAAAGATGGGTTTTTAAATTACTACCATTAGAAAGATCATTAGTTAATCAAGTGAATTCCACTTTATGGGTGGACTGAATTTTCAGCGCCATAATAAAAAAAGGTGAAAAAGCAAGGTTAACATCAAGTGTGCTACCAAGTATGATCACGGCTTGAAATTACAAAACCGGCCATCACAAATGAAAAAAAGAAACTCTGTTAGCGGAGGAGGTAGAAAATCGTTTCTTTCCACAAGATGAACATGGGAGTTCTCGTTTCGTGACTAAATTAAAGAAAATAAATGGTCTTCTCTCCCTCTCTCTTTGTGCGTTTGTCTGTGTGTGTGTGTGTGTGTGTATACGTAGAGTTAACCTCAATTTGAATTTCACTCTGCAGGTCGCAAATGTGAACAACATGATGAGATCGCACGAAAGATACATGTACACAAATACAGTCCGTACCGCGTAAGGTGTAGATCTTAAGCTGTAGAATATGCACAAAAAGCACCTTGCTTTGGAGAGAGCGCAAACGACATAAGTAGATGCGCGTTCTAACTAAATAGAGAATAATGTGACATTGATTAGTGACAATTTGGCATTTATGATTGAGGAAACTCAGTTATCTACCAAACAATTTCAGCTCCCACTCTGGTGAAAAGGAACCGCTAATTTCATTAGAATTGCTAATCCGACAAAACAGTAAAAGGATCAATGGAATAAGTGGAGTGATCTGAATAGACTACGAAAAGAGTAAAAAAATATACGAGTACGCAATCTCAATTCTAATCAGAGGTTGACAATTATTGATTGAATTATTCATAGAAGGAATGAAAAAGACAAGGCGGACTAAGTAAAGAATAGCTTGAAACCCATATGCATCTTCCAGTTTAAACAAAGTACATTTCATTTTAGTTATGAGTAGCAAGTATAGAGAGATGGTGAAGATGTAGTATACGGTAAACAGAAGACTGAAGCAATATTAATGATCCAAGCAATAAAATAGTTTTCAAAAAGAATTTCAGAAGTTGAATCAACTCCATACAATTACTCGTCCTCAAAAAAATCATAGAATGTCCTAAAGAAGAAAAGAGATACTGTTGAGAGGGTGAAAAGTTGAGTTGATTCGAAGCATGAGTTTCAAAATGTGATATCCGGGCTATCCACATAATAAAGCTGAGTACAGCTGGCCCCTCCATGTCCTCAAATACGCCTAGTTTGTAATAAAAACAAAACTAAAGTTTTTTAGTGTCTTCTCAGGTTTTTCTTACGTAATCCTTAACGTGTTAAAGAAAATTCTATTCAACTGCATACTACCTCAGGGGGGGGGGGTTGTGCGATAGACTTACCTCCACGTGGTGCACCCTGGACAACGTATTCTCATACGGCAAAAAAGTCTATAAACCGGCACTCGACTTCTGACTTCAAACTACCATGAACCCACTGTATGTCATATTCGATCACTTCCACCATACTCATCCTACCTTTTCTCTGCCTTTGTGTCTGTCTGTCTCTTTAACATCTTTAAATCACTCTTCTGTCCTCCCTCTCCACTTTTTCTCATTTTGATGTTCCTCCTTCCCTCTGTGAAGCCCGAAGTCAGCTAAAGGGCAAATAATAAGTGTCATAAAGCCTGCCATTTGAAATAAATAAATAAATACTACGTCAGGGTAGTCATCACTACGCTCCCTTAAAAAACCTAACAAGCGTGTTTAACGCATCAATGCAAAAGTGATAAACGCCAAAATTAGTGCTTCCGTGGTCTCCACAACACCATCCGTACATTCCCCCCACTGCGGTCTTACATATAGTCAGGTGTTTATCATACATTTTAAAGTGTATAACCCCAGCTTGACCTTAGTACCTGTAACCACCTTACATCTCCAAATTTTCCGATCTCCTAATGAACTTAGCTCTTAACAACTTTGTTTTGCAAATTTGTTTTTTTTTGCTAAGTGAGCGATATGTTTAATGGCTAATAACATAACTACTAGATTTCAACGTTAGCCTGCTGTAATACGTATTCCAGACTATAATTACGGTGTAGGAGAACATGCCAGAAGCCTTCAGCTCTCCAAGGGAGGCTATTTACTCTGGAATATAAGGAGCGTGCAGTGGAATGGGGGAGAAAGGGGTAGGGTAGATTTAACTGAGTGTTAGGTCATGATGCTCGCACACACATACACACACACCTGTGATATATGTGTTGGATTAGAGACGATTTTTTTCTCAACAAAATGAGTTGGAGATCCAAGGGAAAAAAAGACTACTGCATGTAGCAGGTGGACAAAGAAAACCCAGAATGAAAAAGGAAATGGAGTGACTTCACTCTATTTTTAAATCGGCAATCCGACACAGCTGTTCAACAGGTGGCACAGCTCGCGGAGAAAACAAGATGTATAGGACTATCAAGCTTTAATTCTATAGCAATTAGGCAATACCCCCCATTGTTCATGTAAGTTAACTAAGTTTGATAAGGCCACGTGGTTACAAAAACGGTGTTGGAAGAGGTATAGAAGGGAAGTAGCGCAGCGGTAAAAAATTTTAAAGCAAACAAAAGAAGATCGGCACGTTAAAATGCTTAGGTGTCTGTAAAAGCTGAAACGGTAATCTGCAAATTGATTTACTGTCTCAAAATGGATTGAATGCTTCACAAACGTGGATATCTAATCTTGAATGTATTTTAAAAGTGGAAAACGCTAAATTAAAATTGACTTTTTATTCTAGACACAACGATGATTGAAAATTCATCAACTTATACTAAATTATGTCAAGAGGAATTTCACCATGTCAAACGTAACGAATCTGCTGGTCTCGAGTTGATTATTCAAATTTTCCGAACTTGTAATTGTAAGATAGTCCAAATTGCACTTAATTAAATTAATCTAGAATGACTCATGCCGTTTCAATTAAGCATATACCACCGGACGCATAATTGGGTTTAACGATTTGCGTTCGCAACTGCAGACGGCCATCCCATCCCCTACACTGTTTGTTTGTTGATCAGTTAGAATTAGACCTTCCTCTCTCCCTCTTATTACCATGGCTTTCAGTTGAAGGTATTCATATCATTCCCTGTCTTCCCTCTATGGGTTTCGTGTTATTAGAGTGGGAGTACAACCTCAATCCGCCTTCAACTAACCGTCTTGGGTTTGGGGGAGCGCTGCAAAAGATGAGACAATACTTACAGTCAATTCGCCTTAACTCTGAAGCAAAATAATCTTGCGGAAATTTGTGCTTTTCCTTTTGACGCAAGCAACATTTCAATTACATTGCTTTTTCGTCAAAATGTAGAGACTTAAATTCCCATTTACTTGAACTTAGATAGGTGTCATGATAATCCATATCCATCGATGCACATCCAATTTTGTGAATGCTCAACCATAGAGTGGAAAAGAAAGATTTCAGGATAGCATCTCACTAATTAAGTCGTTGGTAGCACTATCCCTAGGGGGGTAAGACAAGCTTTCTCTTCAAAAAAATCCGGCAATCTAAACATACATCAGCACACCTTTCCGTTATAAGCACTGTGAGCAGATTTGTGTATTCATAACTCATATTAATGCTTGCTGTACAATTTTACTGTAATGAGACCTGGTGAATAATTGATGCATTGCGTCTAATGATTGTCAGTCTACACATCACATTTATGTCTGGTGTTTATCTTTAGCATTTTGCTGCTACCATCAATCGAAATACGAAAAGTTCACAAGACTATCAAAATACCGCACCGGAAAAAAACAAAACAATCATTAATTATACGATTCCCTTTCTCGTTTACATGAAGTACAAACGCGGAAGTACCACAGTTGTGGTCTTGAAGATCGGTTTAAACAAGATGTTCCTGGGATCAGAGGGGAGCCTTTTTGATTAAGTAGTCAGGAAACTACCATATACCCATCAATTTGTCGAGCAATCTTAACCAATGGGATTTTGCACAACCTAACAAATATGGATGTAATCAACTAAGGTATCTTGCTTATCTGGTGCAAGAAAAATTTAAGGATAGAGAAATGGCAAAAACAGATTTATTGATTAGTATTAATCCAATAATCTCTCACATTGCCTATTCGAGGCAGATGGATGAGAGACTTTGCGCAGCAAACAAATAAAAAATTAGTAAAGCGTTATTTTGTCGAAAATCTATCCACTTATCGATCGTAATTAACCAGTGAGGTTTAAACACCACCTATTCGAAAAAGGTGCCATTTTCTCCACCAAAAGACCATAACGCCCCCCCCCCCCTCCACAATGCGTAGAAAGAAGACATAGTAGATAGTAAAATGATGAGAATAAAGCCGTGAAAAAAAATGAATAGTGGAAATTGCACCGGCATATAGTAAACTGCATTTCTGCGGAAAAAAGTGCATTAGAATAGGAATAGCGAAGCTGTGCTATGCCATGTGATAAAATAAGATTCATAAAAAATTACACGTTTAATGAGCGAACCATGGAATAATTAATGAAAAAAAAACAAAGCTAAAGGGGAGGTAATGACATCCTATCCAACGATCGGAACACGGAGTTCAAAATACTCCAAAAGCAAAAAGAAATGCATGAATGGAAAAATTTCTTTAAGTTAAATTTCAAGGATGCTTGAGGTAAACATAAACAAAGTCGAAATTACCTCTAAATGAAGGCTAATTGGATCGAACTGAAGCTTCCAATCAGATAATGCTCGATATCAACTAGACATCGATCGAATATTCGCATGAAATACCCCAACTTCTATTAAAATGCTCTTATTAAAACACTGTGTCTCATTGGAACCCTTAAAGATGGCAAAATATTGGCATGCAATGTCTAAAGGGGGCCCATAAATTCACTTTTACTTGAAATAGGCCTTTTTGCGCACTCCGAGATAACTGAAATTATGGACACATCGTTTTAACAAAAATGGACGTAATTAATATAAAAACCATATCACAATTGGAATAATAATTGGAAACCTGCCGAAGAACAATATAGCGCTGACAGCAAATACTGGTAACATGGCATGCGTAACAGATCACCCGGGTTGGAACAGTGGGTGTTGTCGAACCGGTAGGTTCCGACTAAAATATCCAAACTACAACCAGTTCTTCACTGCCATTTTTTACGGTATATATATATATATATATATATATATATATATATATATATATATTCTTATTCCAAAGATAGAATTCTGCTGCTGGTTGAAAAACCCCTGACGACAATACCGGTTCTCCCCCCCCCCCTCCATAAAGTTTTAGGCGGTTGAAGAAGGTAGAGAGGAGATAGATTAAGTAGAAATCGAATTTCAAATAGCCCAAAGGCAAAAGACTAGTGAATTCACTGATAATGGCAAAATTATCCAAGTCAAATCAACTTACTACTCCAATCAGCAAGGAATCCAAAGATTCGCCCTCGAATAATCTTCCTATGGTGCCGTCTGCGATGTTTGTGCAGATGGACGAAGAGCGAGGGCTTAGAACCCGATGCCGATAGTTCATCCAATTGCAGTTGGTGTACTTGTGTCTGCTCCGCTGAAGCACTTGTGTCACCCCTGAGGGGTAATCGCCGGTCATCAACGGATGATGATTTTGCTCGATTTGACGTGTTTTCAGTGTTGGATTTATCCGCTTGCGGTGAATTTTCATTTGCCAACTGAAGTAGGAAAAGGGGTTTATTCATTACTACTTGTTACAAATGTTTATTTAACACAACCCAACTCAAGTCTGTAATGTAACCGGGTGAGCCTTTGTGCCACTATAATAGCAATAGCCTGCGTTGTCTAAGATAAATGGAAGGTGTAGAAACGAAACTGTCGACTTATATTCAACGATTAGAATGGAGGGATGGTGAGGCAAAATGTGTCAAAGCAGCTGAATATAGGCAAAATTGCAGGTGAAGCATAAAGGGAAGAAAACCCTGAAATCTTTCAAGAGCCCAATGTAGAGTCATATTTCAGGATAAAGTGAGAAGTAGACAAATGGCAGAAATTAATAAGCGGTGAGAAATAAGGTCATTACAGAGCTATTATAGACCAATGATAGTAAACTTTATGTGGCCAAGTAATCTTTTTGTCTATAAATTGATAGATTACTACTTCGTATTTGGTAGGTAATTTATAAAGCCTACTGTTCATAACGTATTATAATTCTGTAATAAGAGTACTAATTTAATTCATATATCCAGATCAAATTCTCATGAGAAGTTGAAAATTCGAACACATAGGATTCTAATATCAACATTATTGGAAATACTATTCCGATATCACACAAAATAATAAGACTATTAATAAATATGATCTTTCTAAGGGAATATTTCGAATCAGTTTGAAATATTAAATTCGTACCCTGGGGTGCGTCATATCGACTTACCTCCACGTGGTGCATCCTGGGCAATGTATACTCATACGGCAAAAAAGTCTATTACCTGGCAATTGACTTTCGACTTCAAACTGGCATGACCCCACTGTACGTCATATTCGACTACTTTCACAGTACTCACCTCACCTTTTTTCTACCTTTGTGTCTGTCTCTTACGTCTTTGAAACACTCCTCTGTTCCCCCTCCCCATCTCGAATTTTTTCGCTTTGATGTTCCTTCCCCTCTGTGAAGCCTGAAGTCAACTAAAGGGCTAATGATAACAATCAAGACGCCTGCCATTTGATATAAATAAATAAAGTTTTGCATATTTCGTATTTCATAAGATATTACTAATTTTCGGCTTGGATTTTAGCGCGACTTAGTAGTTTAGGAGGGATAAATCAAATTGTATAATTTAATCAGTAATCTTACTTTTAGCTATGGCAGCTTTTCCAATTGGTTCTTACACATTGTTAGGTTGCCACAGGATGAAAAATCGGAGGCTAAAACCCTCTCAGCCAAGTCTTCAACAACCCACCTCCAAGTGCAAGGATCATCCTGTCCGTCAGAGCCGAATTCAAGTCGATATCAAAGTGCTGAAGAACTTTCGCCTGCCGAGCTCGACGAACCAAGTTCACCAGCAAAGGTTGGCTTAGAATCTTATAAATGCATTGAATATTCAAGTGGTAGAGTACTTCCAATGCTCTAGATATCGGATCTATTCCCAAACAATAGTTTCCTGTTCCATTCAAATTTGTAGGGAATCAAATTCATTTTGTCGAGATAAATGAGCGGGCTTAGTTGCGTTTATCGTGCATTAGTTGTTGTAATGAAATTAGTAAAGAGATTTCCTTTTGTTATTTCTGCATATTCATATGTTTTAATCGAACCCAGAATCCTTTTGAAATGTGTCTCAAAAGTGCACTCAAAATTACCGTCTATTGCCACGTTCAAATTTCTTGTACACTCATTATTCAACCAATAAGGAGCCATCAGTTGACTTAGCACCTGTGTGTGCTTTTCCGTGAAAATTTCATTGGTTACTGAGATACTACAAACGCTTTTTCTACATCGATCTGCGAACCAGTAGTTTTTTCACACATTTTCTATGCATTGCATAAACTCTAATGTTGGTATTCTAATGTTCTAACTTAGAGAAGAATCATCAGGAATTAGCACGTAATTAGTCACAAACTCCCTCATAAGTATCGGTTCTACTATCATTTGGCAAGTTCACTCCTCTTATTAACTTCAGATATTGATCATTTCAAGCTAAATTAGAGTATTTACTATATCTTTCTTTTAGTTAGCTTAATTTTAATCAATGCCAAATTTCAAAATATCAACATTTTAAGATAAGCTTTAAATACTGCATGAATATTTTTTAGTATTAGATAACTGGCAGTAGTTTTAGATTCGTTGATGACGGTTGTGTTTGACCTTGAAATCTAGACTTTGATCGGTGGTCGAGTCGATGCCTAATTTCCACTTTCCCCTATTTCGTTCGCGACGACGTCCAAACGAGGCTAAAACACTCATAGCCCTTTACGAAAGACAGCGAAGACAACAAATGACCGTCAATTATGACTTCTACTTATTTGGGGACGAACCTCTAATGACACAGGTTATTGGAGTTACTAGTTACTCTGAAAATCGAATTCGTATTGATTCGGTTAGTAGATGCCCCTTTTAAGCAACGGCGTAGCATTTTTGTGCTTCATTATCACCACTCGCATTTTCTTTTTCATTGAAGGCTCCAGCGAATCATCAAAAACTTGACCACGAGTTGGTTAGGTCAACCTCTCCTTCCTTTGCGATCAACAACGAAAGGTGTGCGATCACAGAAAGTCCTGCTGAGCAACAAAAAACATCATATCAACTAGATGACAATTTCTTGCAGACGATTGACGAATGGCAAAGGCGAAATGTATCCGCTCTAGAGAGAGAGCAGGGTAGCAATGATGGTGAAGAGTCCGATGATGAATATGAGACGCCTGGAGAGATGTCTCCTGTGAAATCGAAGGCCAATTCATCTACAGAGGCCTCACCAGGCGCTGAACGAAAAGTCAGCAGAACCCTCCTTGATATTGCTGCACAGGAGAGATTGGCTGGGCTGATGAATTCCGAAAAGGTATTTGAAGGAAGTCTTATTCCCCTTTCCTTAACTTATCTAAAGACTGATTAATTGAGCTTGAAGTAAGGTCAGAGGTCAGTAGATCGGCGCCTATAAGTTCAAATCCAGCAATTTGAACCACCCACCTCACTGGCTCAATCACTGGTTGTTATAATAACTATGGCATTTTGCTTCTAAACAGATTACAAAATAGATGATCAAATATGAGATCAAAGTTCGGTGAATTAAGCGAAGACATTTCAAACCTTGTTTATATTTAAATTGGTTGTTCGTCATAAGTATTACGTCTTATTCTGCAAGGCCAGGTTATTTTATAGATGTAAACGTTTCCAATGAAGAAATAATTTCAGGCAGAATTATTGATTTTATCACTCTGAGTTGAGTTAGTTTGATATCGCTGAGCTAATTTAGTCTTGAATATGATAGAAATGACCGCTCTCCCTCCCTCTCCCTCTCTGAGGGTTGCCTAGATTAGATTGGAGTCGACACCCTGTGTTCTAAGCTTGTGGAACATCGGAAAATCACCTGCTTCTGCTTCCAAACGAATTCAAATTACCAAGTAAAATACACGCCTAAGAGAGAAAGTAAGGGATTGCGGTTAATAGTGTTAACTTTTGAGCAACTTTAATAAATTTCAAAAAGCTCGAGTGCAAAAGTTCATGTTAAGCAAAAGGATACCCCCCCCCCACAAACAGAAATCGTTGTGATTTTGAGACATTCTCCTCTTGTCTTCTCTACTTAGGCATCACCTCTTGCCTTATCTTTGTCTAATTTAATGGAAAATTATATTTTTTTAAACTAAATCACTTCGCGTTCACACCATTGCAGAAGGTTCTTCAAATCTTATGTTGAGGTCAATGTCTCAATAACTTTATTTCCAGAGAAAAATGTTATTTCAGCTTTTAAAAAACACAAAATTTAAATTTTGAAAAATATATATTTAGTTCTCATGAGTATTTTAAATCATTATTTGCTAAACTCCTTATCTCACTCTCATACTCTAAATGAAGCACTCGAGTCTGCTGGCAATAGCTCTTACCTAACTAGACTTGTTTGACCGTGACCTTGGAGTGGAACTGAGGATAAGAAATAATGCTGCTGTCCTAGACACCTTCGAATTTGTCAACCACTTGTTTGATCTGGCTTAAGAAGGTACTTCTAAAAGCATGGAAGTGGAATAGAAAGCTGTAATTTGAGACATAAGACTTCTCTCTCTCTCTATTCGTCATCAGTCCTCTTTCTTATCAATCCATCGATTTTGAACTCGCGCCATAGTTGATTGTGGATGCTGTTGAAATCAGGTAACAAAACACGTTTTATCATTACTTTGAGCGATAAATTATGTATTTTGGCATAGAACAATCGCACTTATTCTAGATCATGGCCTCACTACCTAATATCATCATTTTTTTGATTTAGGATTCAGGAAAATCCCTAATCAACCCCTTGCCCCTATCCCTTCAAAGAAAATCCATTATAGCACGTACAATTCGTCGTGACCGAACCAAACCGAAAAACGCTTTTTCTCCACAACCTGACGCTTTAATCGATTCAAGCCCCCTTACCATAACACCCGGAAGTTCCGTGCATCAGAGCCCTACATCTCCCTTGCCTCAACTGTCGTTATCAGACTCCGCATTCAGAACTCCCTCTCCACCTGCCGTTTCCTCCTCACAAACTCCGGCTTCCACGAGAATGAAGCCTGAGGAGTCATATGAGAGCGCGATAGCGTCTCCTCCTTGGGCTGCTGCGATGGCCGCTATTGGGGCGTCCTCCTCTCCTCCTGTCGTCGGTATTTCAAAGAAATTAGCCCAAAATTCCCAGAGTTTATGATTTTGTCACTACCGTACTAGCTTTCAAAGGATTTTACTTCCGTTCTTAACACCCCCCCCCCTCCCGCCGCCACTGTTGTACAAATGATGTCTCGTCTTTTCCATTTGCCGTGAAGTTGACTTGAATTGCTTAATATTGCTTATCTCCGTATCGGTGTTGACTAAGTAAATCTTGTGCATGAATTTCCCTTCGGTTTCATGCCATTTTTTATTGCGTAGTGGTATCGGGCGTTCCAATTTGTACGCGACTACGTCGTTTGTAAACCTCTATGAAGTCTTTGCTATAATTTTGACTTAAGATTTAGGACGGATGAATTTTCTCTATGCCTACTTCCATCTTGTAGATAATCATGACCTAATAATGTGGCTCATAGATGGTGTGACTAATGCTTTTAGGAGTGGGAGAGGTAGGTTGGTTAGAGAATTATTGAAGAATGTACACAATCATTATATTCAATCATTGTGGGGTGTGCGACAGACTTACCTCCACTTGGTACACCCTGGACAACGTATACTCATACGGCAAAATTCATATAAACCGTCAGTTGACTTCTTACTTCAAACGGCCATGACTCCACTGTATGTCATATTCGATCGCTTCCACATTACACGTCTTACCTTTTTCTCTACCTTTGTGTCTGTCTGTCGTTTTTACATCTGTGGATCACTCTTCTGTTCCCCCACACCACTCCACGTTTTGTGACTTTAATGCTCCTCCTCTCCGTGAAGCCCTAAGTCAGCTAAAGGACTAATGATAACTTTCAAAACGCCTGCCATTTGAAATAAATAAATATTCGATTTAAAAGCCGGGATAAATAACAGCATCCCACATTACACTTTTGATATAGGTGCATAGAGCATTGGTTTCTGTGTTATTCTTTCTGCTTATAAACTTTTAAATTTTAGAGTTCCATTAGAAATAAAATCTCAGTTGTACGCTCTGTTATCGTGTTTAATTAGTACTAATCTTGTAAGTTGAGGTAAAGCAGTTGGTTGTTATGAGAAGAAATTTGGAGATGGTAAAATTGAAGGAAAGAATAACTTTATTTATATTTATTTATTTATTTCGAATGGCAGGCGTTTTGATAGTTATCATTAGCCATTTAGCTGACTTCGGGCTTCACAGATAGGAGACGGAACATCAAAGTGGCCAAAGGTCAAGAGGGGGGACAGAATAATGATTCACAGATGTAACAGAGATAGACAGACAGACAGACAAAAAGGCAGAGAAAAGGTGAGGTTATTACTGTGGAAGGGGTCGAATATGACATACAGTGGGGTGATGGTAGTTTGAAGTCAGA